TTTTTGTAACCTGGAAAGGATCCCTGCCTGCCAAGGAGCCAATCCCCGCTGGACGGACTTGCGGGTTAAGGCTAAGGGGGGAAACAAATCCCCTGTGGGATTGCCCCAGCTTGCCCTGCCCTGTGGGGGCCTGTGCCGGGAAGCGCTGCACCGTGCCCGGCTCTGCAGAGGTTTTGCTGTTTAAGAGCCTTTTTTGCTATTTTGGAGCTTCTGAGACTCCAATGGCTTTCTCTCTGAGCTGTGGTTGGTGGGTGTAGTGCAGCTGTGCGGGGAGGCTCTTTGCCTGTGTTTGCAGCTGGAGTAGAAAACTTTCCAGGAATTTGTTCGTCTCCCAGCGTGAAGCACAGGTGTACTTATCTCAACCGTTGTCTCTCCTTTAGAGTGAAGTGTGAGACAGTTGAATCTTAGTGACCCACTTTGGTCCTTATAGCTTCTCAGAGTCTTCCAATTGGAAGAGAAGCTGAATTCAATTGTTCTGTGCAACCTTAAAAAAAAAACAAAAACAAACCCCACAACACAAAACAGAGTTCAGCTGGAAATGAATGACCAGGCTGAAAGGGGAAGATGGAGTTTCCTTGGGAGACTGAAGAGAAGTTCTCTTTGTCTGTTTTTCAGGCAAGAATGAAATGACAAATGAACTGTCTTCCTCACAAATTGCAGAAGAGCCTCTGCCCCCTTCATATATCCTGCAAGGAGACGACATCCAGGCACTTGCAATTAAGGTGGAAGACCTTGAGAAAGTATGTATTTTTACTGCTAGAAACAGCTACCTTAACTGACACTCTCCTTTTATTTTGCATTTAACAGAGCGTGCTGTCCATTTACTTAAACCAAACGCCACTCGTCGAGTTCTGTTCTCATTCCATTTTGTCTGTCCTGCTTTTTATAACTTGTCAGATCATCAGGCTCAGTTGCTAAAACTAAAGGATTATGGATCCTTACACAGCCTTTTTAAATAGAAGGATAAGTCATCCACCTCTTCAAAATTACGTTTCCAACTTTCCGGTGTAGTAAGACTTACAAGTTGTTTAGTAACTATCACAGTGTCCCCTTCTAAAACTCGGGTCAAACTGTGGGAGTGGAAGCATTTGACACGAAGTGACACAGCAGAAAACTATTGGGAAAGTGATTTAAAACTCTCTTTTCCCTGCCCCAGTTATAAAGCAGAGTCCAGAATAGTAAGACAGTAACTAAGCTGGTATCTCCGCAGTCATGTAACATACCTCTTAGGGGAGGAACAGCCTATGCTGATATGACTTCTCTGCCTATCCTAGAAGGCTCAGAAGGAATGAAGGTGAGTCAGTATGTACCTAAATGCATTGTGACTGTTTGTTTTCTGAAGCTCCATGCTCCACACCCTCCCCATGATGCTGGGAGAATTCCAGTTAGGAAGGAATACCTTGTTCGAAAATATCGACCCAAAGAGACGAAGGCGGCAGCAGATCTCCTTGTAGCATATCCCGCTTTCCCAAAGGCACCCAGGGAACCACTGACTTTTTCTGGTAGGGTTAAACTTCACACCTATCTTTGGGTTTTGGTTTTGCTAAGCCTAGCTTTAGTGACCTGGCTCTGGAGTTGGGTTTTTTGTGTGTGCGTTATAGGACCAGGACAGTTTGGTGATGACTGTAAAAAGATTCTCCCCCATCACATTTTGGGAAGTCTCCAGGAATTCAAGGAGGAAGCCTTGGCCAGAGGAAACACTCAGGTTGGTTTGTAAAGTTACGAAAATGGTGCCATGTGGCACTTTTCTAGAGGTGGAGTGCGGTGCCTGCGGTACCTTTCAATGGTTTTCAGCACCTATCAGGAACAGGTCAGGCCTGAGGTGTGGTTTTCCCCACCTCTCATACTCTGTGGGGAGGGCGGGCTTGTCTTCTGAGAAACTGCACCAGCAGGTTTTGAAGTCCTGTGTGCAAGTGGACGTCATGGAGGGAGAAATTGCAGAGACTTCCTCTTCTGCTGATGGCGTCAGGCTGGCATGCGAAGAGCTGGTGTTGCAGCAATGCTACTGCTCAAGTCTAATTACTCAGATAAATCTTGCCATTGTTTCTGAGTGTGTTCTTGGTGCCCTGTTCTTGTTCCTCTCAAAGTTATCAGGTAAAAGTCCTGTCAGTCTGAAGAATTCTTTTCTCTTCCCCTCTCCCATTCTCATGGTGACAGTATGTGCACATAGAGGTTAATTTAATGTTTCCTCTCTCTTCAGATAGGAGATCTTATTGAGGTTTCTCATCAAGATGTTACTGCAGCAGCTTTAAAGAAGGAACATGGAGGAGAGAAGAAGGTTCATCAGCCCCCACCAGCAGAGCACAAAGCTCTCCAGAACTGGCACCATCATATGACAATCAGGAAAAAGCAGGAGAAATATCTAGGAGGTGAGAAAAGCTGAGGCCTCGTTCTGTGGGCAGGTAGGGGAGTTTGATGGCGTCACAACAAACTGTAATGGTTATAGCTGACTGGGGTTAATCCTGTTGCCGTTGCATGTTCTCGGAGCTCCCCATGCTGCTAGTGCTAGTGGCCATGGATGCTGTGGGGAGGTGAGCTGGTGGGTCTGGCTCGGGGAAGAACAGTGGATTTGGTGGGGGACAGTGTAAGGGGGTTACACATGAACAGTAGGTAAAAGGTGTGCCCTGAAGTGCAGCACCAATGATTTGACATTGCTTCTTTACAGAAATTCTTCAGAGGCCCGAGAATGAATTGCTGATGAACACCTCAGAGGATTACAGGCAAATCCAGGAAGAACGTGACCTTATTGACCGGTATCTCCCTGCCCTGCTTCCTGGAAAGGTGAGAGCCCAGCTTCCTCTGTGTCCTCTGTTCTTGTGAAAGAGCTAAGACACTGGTGTTATGAGTAACATCTCTGAAGACCTGTCATTAGCTATTTATCAAAGCCACTCTAAGTCCTTCAGCCTAGTGTGCAAGCAGAGCTTTCAGTGACTTTAAAAATAAAACCACGAACTGTGCTGTCCATACTAGTCAGAGGACATTGGTGGTGTGCTTTGGCTCCTTGCTAACAAACTGCTGTATATGGGCAAGTGCCATTTCTTGATTATCACCAAAGACTGTCATGCACTGGGAATTGGGATGTGCCACAATTGCTGTTCCAAGGACAGAAAGATCTGATAGCTCCAGGCTTGAATTTTAGTGATTGCCGTGGAGAAAGGGGTATGGGTAAGTTGGGAGGACTACGGCAGTATCTTATGTTAAAATTAATTTTTTACATTTATAGCACTATCAGAGAATTTGCATTTGTGTGAGGCACTATTTTAATATCACTCAACCTTCATGTAGCACTAGATAGAAGAAAGTTCTTCTTTTGTCTTTGACAGCAGCCTGACAGAAATTTTGGCTTGCTCTGCAGAAAGGGATAATTTATAGACTTTTAAAATATCCGTATAAGCAGAGTTAGACCCCTTTTTCCTTTTAGCTTCTAGTCCCTGTGAAAATAGCAGACAGCCGTACACCTCTGAAAGCGTCAGTGGGAGCCTTGTTTTCCACCCTAGGGCTGCCGAAGAGGAAGCGAGTTCTGGAGTCAGCCCGAGCATATTGGAGATGAAGTCACCGGCCTGACGATGACACTGACTCAGAGAGAACGTGGCTACCCAGAGCCAGTCACTCATGTGGGGAAACCCCGCAGCGTCCAGATGGAAACGGGTGAGGGAACATCGCAGAGAGGTGATTCCACAGAAATGGGGTACAAGTGTGGAGGGAGCAGCAGAAAAAAACAGTGACTCCTCTGAGTAGGGCGGCTCATGTTATAGCTGTCCCTTCTGACAGCTGCAACACAAGCTACTTCCCAGTCATCTGTTGGACCTTCTCTTTAAAACACCATGAGACCAAAGTTTGGCAGAGAGTGAAATTAATAGGTATGTGGGTATGTAGACAGTGAGCTCTCGTGTGGGTATTTCCACAGGTCTGAAGCCTCCAAAGAGGATCCCTTTCCATCTAACCTGGCATGAGAGTCTTTTCGTGAAAGAGCGACGACATGAGCTAAAATCTATCCTAGAGGAGCTAGATTTTTATAAGCCGGTAAGACTAGAGGAGTGAGGATGTTCTTTGCATCTCTCATCTCGTGGCAATTTTATGTTACTCTGCAGCATCTGACAAGAACTGGATCCGAAAAAGCATTAGGGATCTAAGACTACAGCCCCACAGTACTTCTCTTGGAAGTTCCCATGTTTCCAAAGGTCCACACCGACGAATGAGTTGTCTGGGCTCCCTGAGTGTTGCATGGAGTGGTCTAAGAGCCTCAGAATAGGACCCCAAACCAGAAGCATGCAGCTGCCAAGACCTAGGCAATAAAAAAAACTGCCAAATGCTATTGTAGGTCTTTGATTTAGTGCCTCAGGGCAGAGGGAAGACACCTTTACCCATGTGGAAGGCACACATCTGAAATAATCTCCTGAAGGCAGGTAGCCCCACCTCTTAAAAACTGAAGAAACCTCACCTTTTCCTTTCTGAAACCTGGCTCTGGGGATGAGAAACGTGTGTGAAAGACTTTTCCCGTCCATGCATCATTTGTAGTGGGGAATCTAGGATTCTCGGGAGACCCAGAATTGGTTGCTTCCTGTGTCTCTTGAACATTTGTTGAGTGTCTCTAAAAAACATCATAGGAGCAAGATATCTCAACTTTGCTTTACTTGACACACTTGCTACATTGGTATTTTAACTTCCCTCTGTATAAGAAGAGAAATCGTGAGTCGGTCCTTTTTCTGTATATCCAGGATCTGGATGGACTGGAGGTGATCGGTAAAGGGCAGCCTTTCACATCTGTCTCAACAGAGCCTTTTCCATGTTCCACCCCTTCTGAAGAGTCTGAGACCCTGTAAGTTTTACTTCATGGCAGAAATAAAGATTTTTGGGTATGTACCATCAGTTCATAAGGGTATCCTTAACTGTCCTTAGCCAGTACTCAGAGGAATCTCCACTGGGACACAATAAAAGGCATATTCTAATATTAAAGTCACCAGATTTAAGAATCAAGCAGTTCCCTTGTGCCTTGGGGCCTCGTGCCTAAGGAGCAAAAATCAGAGAAAAGGTTTTTTTCAGGCCCCTCTACCAGTCTTCCCTCTGTGTGGCTGCAGAGCTTACCTTAGGCAGGGTGGGGATTCTGCTCTAAATTACCTCCATCTGGTTGTCTTTTTCCAGCCTTCCAATTCCATCATCAATTTGCCTTTTCCCCCGCTCTCCGTCCTGTCCATCTGTAATGGGCACAACCCAAGGGCCTCTTCTTATACAGTTGTGTACCCTCAGCCTTCCTTGGGCAGGTATCATTCTTTGATATTCTGGCTGTCCTGTCCTTGATGGTGACAAGTAGCTAGCTGGAATTTACCACATCCACAGGATTCTGTCCCTAAAGAGATAACTGTGGAAAAGCATTAGCTGGGATTATTTCTTCTAGGGTCTTGTAAATCACTCCTGGTTCTCCCATCTCTGACAGTGAATTTCACATGAAAATGCTGGCTCTTGTTTTCTTTAGCGGTGACCCCTTAAGGGACTACCCCAATGCGGTTCCAGAAGCAGTAGTGGGTCCATCTTTAGATTTCTGTGGCCAGCCTGCTCGTTGGATCAATGGCACCACTTCTCACAGGGTAATTGTGCGTTTTTTGTTGTTTGGTCAAGCTAAGGCTGCTTGAGTACAGCTGTACAATGAGTGTCACTCCCAGACCAGAGAATGGGGGGTTTATTCTGAGCGTAATAGATTATCCCTACGTTTGCTCCAGAGAGATCTAGAAACAGAAAGGGTTGCTCTGTCTGTGGTGTGAACTCAGATTCCCAGGCGCTCTCTGTATAATGGCCACTTCATTGGACCTGACTTACAAGTTCTTCTACCAAGGCTCAACCCTTTATCTGTGGTATGCCTTCAGGCACGGTAAATCCTGCCAGATAGACTAGAAATTGTTATCTTTGTCTTTTTCCTTTGCCTTGTAGGATGAAATTGGTATTGCTGCCCGGCTCACCTTTGAGACTTTGGTTGGTGAGAAAGCTGAAAGCTCCCTGATGGTGAGCAATGATGGCACAACTGCCGTCTGGTATGACTGGATGAGGCTTCCCCAGAAGATTCCCTCCAGAGAAACTAAGGGGATAAGGATGCCGCGTTTTTACTTTGATACCAGATCAGGTATGAGAGCTGCTGATCTGTGAGACTTTTGTAGATGGAGCAGAGAACACATATTCAGGAGTTCTCTGAGGTGCTGAGTCTGACTAATGGCAGAGCAAGCCTGTTGGGTGATTCTCCTTTGGAAGCCACCCTGGGTGTCAGAGCTGACTCACACCAAAAGAGGTGTGCGAAGCAGATCCCTTTTGTGGGACTTAAAGGAGGAGGTTGCTCCTATTCTGAATGTAAATGGGTGGAATATTGAGAAGTGAATCATTGTCTGATGGCAAACTGGGCAGAATCTGCCAGAGAGAGTACTGAGCTTGCTGTAAAAGGAGCGTGCAGTGGAAATAACACCAGTTCAGTAACATGGTGGCTGGGAGTAAATCTGGCAGGAGAAACATAGCTGGATGAAGTGTGATAACCGGCAAAGCTATGGGAAGAGTCTCACGCAGAGATAAGGACACTCAGGGTGGGGTTGGAAAGGAAGGGTCAAGTTAACCAGGTGGTTTCTTGCAGACTGATGCATTTTCTCTTATTTCAGGTGTAATGTTGCCTGGGGAAACAAGGAAGTTTTCCTTTATTTTCAAGTCAGAAAGTGCAGGCATTTTCAGTGAGTCCTGGGAATTTAGGACACATCCTCTGTTATTAGGAGGAGCTCTGCTGCAGGTGACCCTTTGGGGAATTGCTGTGTATGAGGATATATTTGCTGACCTCACAGAGAAACCAGAGGTAACCAAGCATTTAACTGGGTAACTGTGAGCTTTGAACTTAATATGCAAATAGAGGATAAGGGTGGGAGTGGATGACACAGTAATTTTATTACTATGCAATTAGGGCTGAGAGTGAGATGATGGTTTATTTACAGAGTATCTGTACATACTTGAGCAAGTTTGCTAAGTAAAATGGAAGAAGTCTGCAGTCTATTGTAACATTGTTAATAAAGACGTGATTGTGTCTCCTAAACTGTTCGCACCGGTCCTTTAAAGAATGAATTTTCTGTTGGTGATGAATTTCATTACTTAGTGGGGATGGGATTATGTGTCGTACACTATGATATCAGTTCAGATATAAATTGAAAATTATACTACGCTTTGAAAAATATAGTTTGGGGGAGGATTTGTAGGGTTTATTTGAAAAGCTGTTGTAATTATTGCTCTGCTTAGCGGGGTTTGCAGTTATTCTTGTCCTTGTAACCCTATGTAACGTATACATGTGGTTACTAGCGTGGGTGTGAATTTGCTTGTGTGTCTGTATATAGTATGGGAACTCATACGTGTGCTTGTTGTGGTGCCTCAGATTGACCTGGCTGCTCGAGAAGGTGCTGCTATAGTAGAAGAGTATCTGGAGAAACATCTTGTCCCACGATGTCCTGTTCAGACCCCAGAGCGCCCCCCGTCTCCTGCCTGTGTCACAGAGGAAGAGCTGTTCCACCGGAAGAATCCCGAGGTGATGTTTGCTATTTGATGGGCTACACAACTAAAATAACAGGGAGGGAAGACCCGTGGGGCTGGTGCACCCCTGGGACTCTGGAGGCTGGCGTAGTCTGCCATGGTGGCTTTAGCAATTAGGTTTGTAGAGGAAAGGCAGAGCTCATTTTATTATTTACCTTTTCCCTCTTATCACAGTTCCATTATCAGTATCAAGTGGTAAAGCGGCTGCATGACCTATGGAGACGGTACATGACTGTTCCTTCAGCCTCTGGGGAGAAAGTGCCCTCGGGGCAGAAGAGCACTGTGGAGGACAGTCAGCACCAGGAGAGTACCTCGGAGGCTCTCCCTGCTCAGAGCAGCACCACAGAAGTCCCAGGCGTGAAGAACGCTCTCGAGGAGGCATCCTTAGGATGGAACCTCTCCTTGGATGACTTTAAGCAGGTGTTCACCCCTGTTCCCTCTAGTGCTCTGACAAGCTGATGGCGTTTTCATTT